CCCGTGGGGCCCCGCCGCCCCCGGAGGAGGGCCGCCAGCTGTTCCCTTCGCAAGGCGGCGGCGACCACATTATTCGCGGCGTCTATTTTTAAAAATGGCTTTCCAGCCGCAGTTGTAGGAAGCTGACGATTCCGAGGGGCAGCTCTCCCAGCCCTTGCAGCGCCTTGGCTTTAAATAGATGTATTTTTTTTTCCTTCTCGGTTTGATCGCCCTCCCCAGGATGCACCCTTGCGATAACTCCTCTCCCCTGCAGCGCGCCGGTGATGCCCCTGCTCGGTCCGGGGTCGGGCAGACCGGGCACGGCAAAGCCACGGGATGCGTCGGGGCTCCCGGCTTATTTGGGGGCGGGGAAGGGATCTCGGTGCTTTTGTATCGGTGCCGTGACATTGCTGTTGTGTTTGTCGGGAGCTTACCGAATAGCAGATGCTATTTGGGTTTGGGTGATAGTAAAGTCTTCTGACGATCCTGGGAAGGTCTGCATCCCAACTCGGGAGCTGCCCGGGGGAGAGTAGGCTGATCGCTCTCCTCCGAGCGTGTGAGGGAAACCTGCGTGTGTGTGGATGTGGGGGGAAGAGTCAGAAGGAAGTTTTCCTCCAGGAATAAGGAGGACAAAGAGAAAACCCTGGGGGCTGCGCGTAAACTCCTCTCTGGGCTCTGCCCTGTGGGAATCCCCCTCCCCGTACACACACGCACACACCTCTGGAGAGACATCAGATAAGAGTAATTCTTTTGTGATGCTATGTTGGATGTGTGCCTATTGCATACAATAAACCGAGCCATATTGTGTGTCTATACTCGCCCGGTTCTGGGAGCCCTGGCATTTCGCAATTCCTGCAGCAAGATGTCCATCTCTAAAAGAAAAGCTCCTCAAGAGGGCTCGGCTCGGTGGTGTCCCCCCTCCCCCTAAACGCGATCTCAGGTGATCAAAGCCTTATCTCTCCTGGGTGACAAAAGAAAAAAATTTTTTTGATGCAGTCTCCTTTAGTCTAGGGCATTTGCTAGACAGTGGAGTCATTGTAAATTCAGGAACTCTGTAACAGCGGAGAGGCGTGCCTCTGTGCGTCAGCATAAGTACTGCATGCACAGCATTAAAAAAATAGGAGCATGCAGG